TCCACAGGCCAATGTTTTTTCCTGCTGTGTAAAAGCCAGTCTTTTGTTGGAAAAGCTCTATTCACATGGAGAGATTTAGCCCAAGCTCTGTCTGTCAATGGCTGTAACTGCCCTAATAAATGAAGTCACTATGTTTAGTGATGGATGAGATGACAAATTGATCTAGCCTTAAAGTTGGAAGATCAAGAAAGGAAGAATCACAGGTATTCTTGTAGATGGCATCAAATAGGGAAAGCGGAACTGAAGTTCATACCTGAGTTTGAATCCTGACTTTGTCACTCAGTAGTTGTGGGACCCTGAGCAAGCCCCTTCCTGACTCTGAATCCGGTCGGATTGATTGATGGATAGATAGCATTAGAGAGTGAATAAATGAACATACCAATGGCAGCTTTGTTATTGAAGCCCAGCACAGAATCCTGGAGTTCTTTACAGAGGCAAGTTCCTAAGATGGATAAAAGGATCAAAGACAGAACCCCACGAGGGGAGGAACCAAAGACTCTTGGGAAACCAGGATAAACATGTCTCTGAATTTCATGAAGCAATACCAAAGACATCAAGAGAAAAGCAGTGCTAAAGATAAAAGAAAAAGACAGGTGCTAAATCATGTGACCACTGGCTGCAGGGGGGCCCAGAGGCTTCCTCGTTTCTCCATCCTGGTCACTCCCTAGTAAACACCAACCACGAAAAGTGAGGAGAAAGATGGCTGTTTCTCCCCTGCCTGACATGGTCCTATATATGCTTTAAGAAAATCACTTTGAGAACTGAGTGGAGTGGGGAGAGATTGGAGGCAGGGAGACCAATCAGGAAACTCTGGGCAATGGTGGACCACCTACCCCACCACATCCCCAGTAGCCTTCACTGGTGATCATGCTCTTAAAAGAGGCCACACTAGTTCTTGTGGCTTTGAAAACTCATGTCCCTGGGACTTTCTCTTACAACCTCACATTCTACAGAAAGGAGAAATTTTACTTATAAAGAACCCACAGCAGGATGGTAAATGCTGAAGGAGAGAAAGGAGACAAAATAAGAGCGATAAGTAGAAAGGGAAAGCTTAGCCTGGCAAAAGCGGCACGAATGGAGACAGATCACGGTGTTCATCCTTTGGTGTCTATGCTCTGGTATGTCTAACATAGTTGTCTATTTCAGGATTGGGGACATTACAGAGGAAAAGCCAGGTACAGAGGGTTCATGCTACTTGCTGTTTGGGCTGTCATCACCTCGTGCCTGTACTATTGCCCATAGACTCTTTATTAGTCTTCCTCCCTCTCGTCTCTCTTCGCCCCTCCCAGCTGCCACAGTGACTTACTTAAAGCATATGTCCGACCATGGCAGTCACGGAAGAAAGAGCCCCCTTTCTCACCCTCCTTTTGCTTTGTTCATAGGAGCCCCAGAGTCTGCTGGGAAGGCTTATCCCCAACTCTCCAGCCCAGGAAATGATGAGGTTTCACCCGCCCTAGGCAGCTGACATTTCAATTGACCAACCAGACCCCATTAGGAGAAATACAGACTCTTGCAAATATTCCCTCTCCTCCCCAGAAGGGACCAAACCTTCAAAACTCAATTACATGGAATCAAAATTGATTACAACCTACATAATGAGTGGCTCTCCTCTGGTGTAGCCCTACAAAATTTAATTAAAGCAGGCAGCGGTATCTTGAGATGATTGGGAATAAATATGTTGCTTTCAATCTGCGATTTCCTCCTTGATAATTATATGACATTAAGTTATTGAGCTGAGGAAAGCCCATTATGGTGGCCATCTGCCTAAAGGACACGTTGGGACCATTCGGATACTCATCAGCCACAATTCCATTTCTCTTTCCAGATACATCAGAGCAATGCTGCTCCAGATTAATTTAGTAGCAACGGCAGCTCTTCTTGTGGTGGTAAAGAATTGGAAACAAGGAGGCGCTCAATGATCGGGCAATGGCTGGACAGACCGTGGGCCAGGAATTTTAGAAGTGACTCAGAAGGCTTTAAGAAGCGACACATGGGAAGAATTTGGAGAATGGGAAGGCTTTTATGAATCAATGGGGTCAGGAACTGGGTCCTAGATTTCCTTATCTGGAAAAACTCCTGGAAAAGGAAACCCTTCCACAGAGGTAGGTTGACACCTTCTCTACAACATCCAGTCTTGGGGTTGCCCAGAGCATCCTTGGGTCACAAAGTGAGCCCCGCCCCCAAATCCTCTGCTCTCTCTGCATTTCAAGCCAGAGGTGAGTGTGTGTTTTCTCTTCATTCCTTTGGACTCATGGTTTATTAGTGCACTGATCAGTTCTAAAGCGCTTTGAAGTTATTTTTCTCTGTAGTGTTACCACTGTATGAATTGTTCTCATTCTGCTCACTTCAGTCTGTGTCAGTCTATAGAGGAATGCCCAGTTTCCTCTGACCCTTGTCCATTTGGTCTTTTTTCACGGCACCATATTGCGTTACATTCACATACTATAATTTGTTTAGCCATTGACTGATAGGGCACTGCCTTGGGTTCCGATTTAAGGCTACCCTCAAAAGAGCTGGTGTAAACATTTTTGTCCATATAGGACTTCTTCCTGTTTGATCTCCTTGGGATGTATAGACTAGGGCCAAGATAGTGAGGCCAAAGGGTGTGCAGAGTTTAGTAATTTGTGGGGGGCATCCATTCCTCACGAATGCTTCACCTCCCATTTCCATGCCTTTGCACCTGCCACCCCCCATATCTAGAATGTGCTCACTCTCCACTTCCACCTTGAAGAATCTGCTCTTCCTTCAGGACACAGCCCAGGAACCAGCTTCTACTCAATGCCTTTGTTCATTCTGCCAGCTGCTAGGGCCTACCCTCTCAAACTAGTGCCCATTTAACTATCTTGGAGTTATTTGTATGTATTCTCTTGATATTCATGCTACATATACTCATTTGAATAAATGAATGGATAGATGAAAAACATTTATTAGGAGTCAGTCATTAAGTGGGAAATGAGGTGGAGCAGTGGATAGAGTATGGGGCCTGGAGTCAGGAAGACTCCTCTTCCTGAGTTCAAATCTGGCTTCAGACACTAGCTGTGTGACCCTAGGCAAGTCACTTCACCCTGTTGGCCTCAGTTCCTCATCTGTAAAATGAGCTGGAGAAGGAAATGGCAAACCACTCTAGTATCTCTGCCAAGAGAACCCCAAATGGGGTCATGGAGAGTCGGACATGACTGAAATGACTCAACAAGTCATTAAATGTTTATTAAATCCCTACTCTGTGCTGGCACTGTGTGAAGTGCTGGAAAATCAAATACAAAAAAAGGAAGACAGCCCCTGACTTCAAGGAGCTTATATTCTAAAGGGGAGACAATGCATATTGGTAACAATAATAGTTCGCCTTTATAAAGCTCTTCAAAATTGCAAAACCCTTTACATGTATTATCTCATTTGAGCCTCACAATAACCCTGGGATGTAGGTGCTGTTATTATCCCCATTTTATAGGTGAGGAAACTGATTCCAAGAGAAGCTAAGGGACTCAGCTGAGGTCATATGGAAAATACATAGTAGAGGCAGAATTTGAATTCGGGTCTCCCTGACTTCCATTCTAGTCACTGTACCACTTTGTCGCCTCCCAATGTGGGGAATAATGGCCAGGGAAGGCAGCTATGATCTGGGGAGTCTCCCTGCCTGAGCTTCCAATGTGGGTGGCTAAACATTACATCACTGGACAGAGCGTGTCACCCAAGTCGCTGCGAAAAGTTCTGGAGTTCCTGCTGTGGGCTGTGGGAGGGAGTAGGGGTCTTCCTGCCTCTCTCTGGCTCTTGACTCAGCTAGGGGATTCTAAAGATGCTCCTGTGCTTTCTTTTCCCCTTCCAAGGCAGTGCTGCCTCCTGGTTGTGCTCTTCCTTTCCCAGAGTAGGATGGAGGGATGAACAAAGCAGTGGAGGTTTGGCTTTTCTTGGAGGTCTTCAGAGGCTAAGTGTTGGGTACACATTTTTGGGTACACTATAATGGGGATTTTTTTCAAGTATGGGGCATCTAGTCTAGTATAACCCCATAAGGTCCCTTCCATTTCTCAAATTCTATGATTCTATGACAGCTAAAATGTGCTTCACCCTTCCTCCATTTCCAGAGATAATGGAGTTTTTGGAGGGAGAGTATTTCAAAAAGCAAAATGCATTGATCAGATATCAGGATCTCAAGACCCAATCCCAAAATGGACTACCAGAGGCAATAAGTAAAGGCCTGCATTCAACTTTTTATTTCTTTTGAAAACTTTACAAATATTTTTTACTTTTACATTAACTTTATTCCCAAATATATCCTTCCCCTCCCCTCGTAAGGAACATCTTTAAAAAAAGAGAGGGAAGTTTTTTGTCCGGCAAAACTAAACAATGCAGTAACCAATTACTGTATCGGAAATGTTCTGCACCCGTAGGACCCACACCTTGGTTGAGAGGAGAGGAGGGTGCCTGTTTCCCACTCTTTTTCAAAGCCAATCTTTTCAATCCCACATGAAATTTTAAAGGAGAAAGTTAGCACTTTACTCTCAATGGTGGGGAAATTCCACTCAACCGAATGCTGGAAGGGGATCATTCTCACCACAGTCCAAGACCTCCTCAACAAAGTATGGGAGGTCATGGTGTAGGACATCACTGATAAAAACAACTTTGTAACTCAAGTAGCTGCGTCGTTTTCTAGAGCGGTAGCTGGCTTTTAATCGCCTCTCACCCCCCAAGTCATATGTGATGTCAGGATTCTTACAATCTTACGTTTTATCCTCTCATTTGAAATCTGACCCCACTGGACAGGCTTGTTGAATAGATTTGAGTGGGATCTGGTGCCGAGGGTAGGGAAAGGTAGTATAAAGTGACATCTGATGGGAAGAGCTATGAATATCTGTGGAAAGAGCCCTGGACTTGGATCAGGCAATTCAGGTTCCAATCCTGATCATGCTACTAAAGAGGTATATGACTGTGGCCAAGTCATTTCTGTGGGCATCAGTTTCCTTCTCTGTAAATTTAGAGAGTTCAACTAGATGGCCTCTAAGGTGCCTTTCAGCTATAGGTTCCTTTTCCTCTCCAAGCCTCAGTTTCCTCATCTGGCTTCCTTCAAGGCTCAGCTAAAGCCTCCCTTTCTACAAGAATCCTCTCCCAGTCCTCCTTAATCTTAGAGCTTTTCCTTTGTATCCTCGGTGCTTATGGGTATGCTCTCCTGTGGCAAAAGCTGAGTTCTCCCAGAGAGCTGAACTCTCAAAGGCCGGTGGTGAGTCATAATCCCTGCCCTAAATTCCTTGCTGACAAAGTAGTAGCAAAAGACGTCCAGGCAGCAGTTGATGTTGGAGAGGCAGAAGGCTAGCTGCAGAGCAAAGCTGACACCTTGCTTGGTGCGGCAGTCTTGGATGAAGCCATTCCTTACCAGGAACTGCAGGAAAATGCACAGGTGCACGGGCAGGAAGGAGACCACAAAGACAGCCAGGCTGGCGGCGATGGAGCGGATGACGTGAGCCCTCTTCCCAGCCCAAGCATTTCGCTGGTCCTGCTTGCCCAGGAGGGTGTGGATGCTGCTGAAGGAGCAGACACAGACTGTGCCCATGGGGAGGAGGAATCCGAAGAACTCCAGGGGGACAATGGCTGGGACACCCCAGGCACTATCAGACATGTTATGGAAGCATGTGGAGTTGCCTGCATCTCCATGGAATTCGTAGATGGGGATGGTGCCTATGCACACCAGTGCCCAGATGGAACAGCAGACTACGGAGATGTTCCTTGGGGACCGGATGTTTTTGACCCAGATCGGGTGCTTGATGGACACATAGCGATCGAGGCTGATGAAGGTGATGGTGAAGACACTCCCATACATGCTGACAAAATAGAGACACTCGACCATGGTACAGAGGGAGGATGCATGGGCAGGGCCCTGGGAGAGCGCCATCTTGAAAGGAAGAGAGAGCACAAGCAGCAGGTCGAAGACTGCCAGGTTGATCATATAGATGGAAGTGGCCCTGTACTCCTCCTGCCACTTTCTCAGGAAGGAGGCAAAGCTGTAGATGGCCAGCAGGTTGAGGCACAGACCCAGGAAAAAAGTGGGGACGTGGACACCCAGCTGCACCGTCTTCATCAGGCTGTCCACTTCCTTGAAGGAACAACCCTCGCTTAGGTTCATGTTCTTCCCTGAAATACAAACAGCAGACAAGGCTCGGCACCCCAGTACTTCACCCAAATGGCCATGCCTCAAGAGGGGGCGGCAACCAAACTCCTGTCACATTTTATTAAATAAATGTGGTGCAGAGATAGAGGAGACCTCATTTCATGACTCACCTCCGTCACTTCCTGGCTGTGTGGACACAGGAAAGTCAGTTAAACCCTCTCTGTTTGGTTTTCCTGAAGTGCAAAATGAGGAGGGTGGGGTCAGTGACCTTGAACATCTTTGTTGCCCTCGGATCCTAAGAAGGATCACTCACCTTCACCTAGGAAACACACAAACACATGTACATAACACATAGGAACTTATGACTTGCCCAGGCTCTCACAGCTGGGCTTGAATCCAGGGTTCCCTGACTTTGAGAAAGATCCTATCCACTTTGCCATGCTGCATCTCAAACTAGCATTATATTCTATCTAAAGTCACAGTAATCTCTTCAGTCAAGCTGGAGTCCAAGGCAAGGCTGTGATAAAAAGAGTGCTTAGCATTGACATGAAATTAGGAGGGGCTGCAGATATCCATAGGACGAAGGCCACAGCATCATCACCTGGGGTCTACTATAAACTAATGTTATCATTCTCTGATTTGTCCCATCTTTTTTGATGGGGCCCAGATAGAAACCGTCCTGTGACAAGTGGCTCTCCTGCAAATATTCCTTTATAGTCCCTATTTGGATGCATGACCTGTGGAGTTCTGTCTTTGGAAGATTCTGCACATCACCTGGCAAGACAAGGTGCCAGACACTGAGGTCCTTTCTTGAGCTGAACCGCCACGCACTCAGACTCTACCGCAGAGAGTGCAGCTCTGATGGGCTGGCCACCTTGTTCGAATGCCAAATGTATGTTTGCCTAAAAGACTATTTTTATGGAGATCTCACACAAGGCAAGTGCTCACACGAAGGTCAGAAGAAGTGGTATGGGGACACTCTCAAGGTCTCTCTGAAGAACTTTGCAAGCGATTGGGAGAATTGGGAGACACTGGCACATGGCATGCCTGCATCAAAGGAGATATTGTGCTCTATGAGCACAAAAGAAATGTGGGAAGTGCAAATTTAGAGACATCTCCATTCCAAATGTTCATATGGGCTTATTTGTGCCCAATGTGTGGTAGAGCTTTCCAAGCTCATTTTGTCCACAATCAAACACACTGTATTTGACCCCAACATCATCATGTCGTTGGTCCTCTTTGAGCATGAAGGACAAACAGCATGTTTATTCTTCAGCAGACAATTGCTTTTTGAAGTTGAATTTTAAAGTGTTAGGACATAAGCTTATCTCTGTAGGATTGTTATTATTATTATTATTATGACATAGATAAGGCCTCTTATGACCTGGGTATTTACTAGGAAAGCTTCTTGGAAGAACTGGGGCTTGAGCTGGACCTTGAAAGATGGTGAGGATTTAGTTAGGATGGAGGGGGGCAGCCCTTTAACCAATTTGAAGTCCATTTTACCATTCTACTGTCTAGCCCATGCCTCTCTATTTCATCTACAAGAATAGCCTGAATGACTTTGTTGAACACTTTGTTAAAATCTAGATAAAACTCCATCAACAACATCCCCCTATCAACCAGTCTAGAGAAGGAAAGAAGGTCAGTCAGCATGAACTAACCCAGCAGAAGCCACCATGCTGTCTCTTTTGTGATGCTTGCATCCTTTCCTCAACCTTCATACCCAGTCGCGTTGGCCAATTATGTCACTGTCCTGGACTTCAGTTTGTCTGGATCTGGTGACTTGTACCCATCAAGGTCACCTACGTGCTTTCTTGCTCTTCTCTCCTCATTTTGGATTTCAATTCCCTATTAAGCTATTTGGGGTTCTTTTCTTTCTAATTCAAATATTATTCTCTGTGAGAGAGAAAATAAAACTCAAATAAAGGTGGAGTGTTTCCGCTTTCTCCATGTCATTTTTTATCACCGTCTCGTGCACACTCAGCAGTGAGTCTATCCCTTTCCTCGCCCTCTCTTCTTTGCTTCCCTTCACATTTCTTGTCAGTCAGCTCATTCTGATTGTTGGCACTCCAGACACCATTATTAGAGGACCATTCCACAGTTCTGCAGTTTTCTTCTTACAACCCATGACCTAACACTCCCCATTCCTCAGCTCACAGAGGAAAAAGGCTCAGTCTTGGATGAGCTGACCCTAAAAATCAATATCTCTTTGTCAGTACTGAACTGCACCCACCAAGTGTTGACTCTGGGAAACTTCTGACTCTAGCTTGTGTCTAAGCTTCCACAGATGTGGGTGGAAAGGGTCTCCAACACCCATAAAAACAACAAAGACCCTAAGTCCATTCATTGGGTAGAGGACAATCTTGATGTCATCCCGTGGATATCACAGAAAACATAAAGGACACATAGAAACCTATACACAAATTCAGAGAGCACATATAATGGCCCATAAATGATCAGTGTGACTCTTCTCTCCCTTATGGTCTGGCCTCAAACCTTTACAATCTGTGTGACCCTGGGGAAGTCACTTAAGTTCTGTCTGTTCAGTTTCCTCCACTGTAAAAGGAAGGTAAAAATAGCCCTTTCTTCCCAGGGTTGTGAGGATCCAAGGAGACAATATTTGTAAAGCTTTAGCACAGTGTCTGGCACATAGTAGGAACTTAATAAAATCCTTATTCCCTTCCTTGTTTCCTTATTTCTCCTTTCCCATAGAGTCCTGCTCTGCCCTGTCCCTCCTGCCTTTTAGTAATATGCTGTAGTTTGGATTCCTGGAAAAAAGGAACAATTTGAGGCTGCCAGATAATCCCGTGGCATTCCAGTGAATCCATCAGTGACACCCCAGAGACCCTCTGAAGGGTTGGCCTCCCACTCAAGGGAAACATACTCAGACCTGATAGACAGGCAGCCACCTTCCCACTGAACCTACCCTGTCTAAATAACTGTCTCAGTGGAGGCAAAGTCCAGATCCCTTTCTCTTCCAAAATGTGGCTTTTGATTCATGATGCCGCTCTGTCCAAAACCAGGACCCATGCAAACAATCACCCCTTTTCTCTGGGAGGTGGCTGTAGAAATTTCCTATCTTTGGATAGGTGACCCTTGTGCCAATGCCCATCAGAATGGGACTCTCATCAGTAGAGATGAAAGCCCTGCTCTTCGTGAACAGTGGGGCAGAGTTGGCAACACCCGAGATGCTCCAGTCTTCCTGAGTCATCTTTGGGGACTTCCAGCCCTAAGGGAAGAGGGGAGAAGCCAGCCTCAATTCAGGGTACAGAAGGAAGAGAGTCTGGAAAGATGTTAGAGGAACTGGCCATCTCCAACAGGCCAGCTTGGCACACTAGCTAGTGACTTCAGATAATTCCCTTTGGGCAAGATCCAGAACTTTCCCTCTTGGTTGACCTGAGTTAGCTTCTCAGATTTTTGTTTTGCTATGCTTTGGAAAAATGAGTTCCTTTGCTTTTCATTATGTATGTTCCTCATGAAACTGGTGGGAATATTGTTCCTTTAGTGGAAAAGGTATCAAGCCTTGGATACAGAGCTTGGGGTACCCCTTACTCCCAATAACAATGACAAAGCCATCAGACTATAGATTGAACCCAATCATACCCCTTAGACTAAGAATCTGTAAAGGAGTAGATAGATATAATTCTCGCCTGATATCCCCTCTTTCTGAGGAGAGCAGCGTCGTGGTGTCTGGCTCCAACTTCTTGCTTCCTTTCCTGGCAGAAATGAAAGTCTCCTTTGCTGAAAAGTGAGGAGAGAAGAGGGTTAGAGACATCTATTCTGCCTCCTTTTGAGCCACACAAGGATAGCTCTCTACACAGGTCTCCTACTCTACAGACAGAAGATTGCATCCCCAAATTCTTTTATTTGACCCCCAGCCACCTGGGATCACAGTGCTGCCTAAGCAGCCCTTCTTCTCTGGCTAGAAGGCTAGATTCCAGAACTCTTGAATCTGGTGTTACTCATGAAACAACTCTCCAAAAAATCCTGCTTTAAAAAACAAAAACCACAGTGTTGTATTCCAGGATCATACTGCCTAAGAAATCCTTAGAGGAAGCTTAGATTCAGGCATTACACTGACCAGAAATTCTCCTCTAAGGTTTGGTGTGAGATGGAAAATCCTTCCTATCTGTTGTGCTTTCAAGATCTCTCCAGAAGAGGGTAGCTATCAATTGGGGAATGGCTGAACAATTTAATGGTAAATGAAAAAATGATTTCAAGGAAACCTGGGATGACTTGTATGAACTGACGAAGAGTGTAGTAAGTAGAGCCAGAATAATTTATAGCATGATAATGATATTGTAAAGACAAAAAACTTTGAAAGGCTTAGGAGCTCTGATCCATGCAGTAACCAACCATGATGCAGAGGAGCAATACCGCAGAATGCTACCTACCTCCTGATAGAAAGGTGAAGAACTGAGGGAACGCATGAAGATTTACTTTTTTAGACATGGCCAATGTGGGAATTTGTTTGTGACTTTTATTTTTCTTGCTTTCTAAATAGGGGAGGAGGGGAGGGAAGAGAGAAGATAGAAAAATCTCTCCAGTAGACAGGCAGAAGAGAAAAAGTTTTCAAAAGAACCCCCAAATCTTTAGTAGATTCCTTTTATAGGCCAGCTAGCTAGTGCAGAAGAAAGAAGGTTGGACATCAGAGTCCAAAAGACCTGAATTAAAATTAAATAAATATTTTTAATTAACTACCATGTGCTAGGTGCAAGGTGCGAGGTGTTAGCTGTTAGGGAGAGATTCTAAAAGTCAGGGATTTGTGATTTCCACAGTGTGGATATTCTCTCCACCAATACAGATCTCAACCCAGCTATACCTTAATAGCTAAGTCCTAGAGAGTTCCCTGAGGACAAACAGCTTACTCCTGTCGCATAGATATTAAGTTTGAGGGTCCAGGAATCATACCAGGTGCTAGGGACAGAAAAAAACAAACAAAAATTACATAGCTGCTGCCTTCAAGGAGTTTGTATTCTCTGGGGGAATACCAAACACTAGTTGTTGTTTGTCCTTCGTGTTCGAAGAGGACCCAAGTGACATCATGATGTTGGGGTCAATGAACAGTGTGTCTGATTGTAGCTGATCACACCAGTACTAGCTCAGAAGGCTCTACCACAGGTCGGGCACAAATAGTCCGTATGACCAGATACTTATACTACAAAAGAGGAAGTGTATTATAGTGAATAGACACCTAGACTCAAAGTCAAAAAGACTTGGGTTCAAGTATTGTCCCTGACCCATACTAGTTGTAGGACCCTAGACAAATCACTTCAATTTTCATCCCCCTGGGCAATTCTCTCAGAGCAGAGAGGTATCTGCAGAGTAGCTACTGGGAATTATATAGACTAATGACATCACAGATCAGGTCTTCCCACTAAAGTAGTTGAGGGAGCAGAGGGGGAAACAAAGAGCTCTAGAAATATCCAAGGAGTGAAAGGTCAGTGTGGCCCCAGGTGTAGTCATTGAGGATTTCAGTGCCTCATGCAACTTCCAAGGTGATAAATGAGAGAGAGGTTGCTGGCCTGCCTAGGGGGAGGGAGTCTCCTATTTGAGAGGTCCCCACACTGATGCAATGATGCAAATACGGGTCTAGAGGAAGAGATAGAAAGGGCAGAGAAGGATGGGAATAGGGAGAGACAGACAGACAGACAGACAGAGACAGAGATAGAGACCAAGAAAAGGACAGAGAGATGGAGTGATAGGGACAGAAACAAACAGAGAAATAACATGCATTCACTAATGAGCGATTAGGAGAAAAGGTTTCATGGGAAATTCCCAATTGAGCTGAGCTTTGAAGAAGAATTAGGATTCTGAAAGTTAGGCCCTTTTCTCAAACCTTAACCAAAGGTTTTCCCTACTGGGGAGAGAGGTCAGCCTAGATGACCCCTAAAGTCCCTTCCATGATCTTCCATGATAAGTTCAGCCCCATCCCTGGCTCTTTTAGACCTTTTTTACTGTCCAGCTCCCTCCCCACTCCCTTCTAGGCCGTGAGGCCGTTTAAGGCAGCCCCAGATTATCATACCTTCAGCCTCAGTGATCAAGCCAGCACCTAAGCCTCTGGACACCTCTCTGAATATGTTTACCAGCCGTACATATACTTGAAGCCAGAGCTTGCATGACCACATCCTCTTTTCAGCAGAAGCTTTAAAAAATCCTACTTTACTTTTGCACATACATTAGAACTTGAGCCTTTTTTTCAAAAGAAAAAAAAAAGATCAAGGAAATCCACTTTTTAAGGTGGAGGGAGAACCCACAATGTCACCCTCAGGGTGTTTTTTTCTTCACAGATGGCATCAGTTCTGGCCCTTCCCTAAGACAATTTAAAAATATATATTTATTTAGCATTTTATTTTCCCCCAATTATATGTAAAAACAATTTTTTGACATTTGTCTTTAAAATTTTGAGTTCCAAATTATCTCCCTCCCTCCCCACCCCACCCTCATGTTGAGAAGGCAAACAATTTGATACAGGTTATACACGTGTAGTAATATAAAACATACTTCCATATTAGTCATGTTGTGGAAGGAAACATGGACCAAAAACCAAAACCAGATCCAAGAAAAGCAAAGAAAGTAGAAAAAGTCTGCTTCAATCTGTATTCAGACACAGTAAGTTCTTCCTCTGCAGATAGATGGCATTTTTTGTCATAAGTTCTTTAGAGTTGTCTTGGATCATTGTATCGCTGAGAATAGCTAAGTCGTTCACAGTTGATCATCTTATGATATTGCTGTAATTATGTACAATGTCATCCTGGTTTTACTCATTTCACTTTGTATCAGCTCATGTAAGTCTTTTCATGTTTTTCTGAGAGCATCCTGTTCATCATTTCTTATAGCACAATAGTATTCCACCATAATCGCATACCACAACTTATTCAGCCATTCCCCAGTTGAAGGGCATCCCCTCAATGTCCAATTCTTTGCCACCTGGAAAGAATTGCTATAAATAATTGTGTACATGTACCTCCTTATCCTTTTTAAAAATCTCTTTTGAGATAATAACCTAGTAATGGTATTGCTGAGTCAAAGGGTCAAACCCATGGTTTTATAACCTTCAGGCATAGTTCCAAATTGCTCTGCAGAACAATTGAATCAGTTCACAACTCCACCAACAATTCATTGGTGTCTCAATTTTCCCATATTCCCTCCAACATTTGTCATTTTTCCTTTTCTGTTTTATTAGCTAATCTTATAGGTGTGAGATAGAACCTAAGAATTATTTAAATTTTCATTTCTCTAATCAATAGTAATTTAGAGCATTTTTTCATGTGGCTATAGATAGCTTTGATTACTTTATCTGAAAAATAAATGTTCTTGTCTTTTGATCATTTATCAATTGGAGAATGGCTCTTGCAAA